CTCCACCACTTCACTAAGTCGCCACATCTATTGTAAATTTTTTTTATTAACTATTAATATTAAATCTAATTATAAAACTTTGAATTAAAAATTAATACTCAATAAAGTAACTCTTTCCAACAATCTCTTGCACCAAAAATTCTACTAATACTAATCTATAAATATTGTGTAGTTAGTATATTTTTTTATAACAAAACTTTGCCAAATAGCATCTGGGTTTAAGAGCTTCAAATTGCATATAAGTGCTATAAAATAGAGTTGAAAAAGACAGCTTCTTGTGGGTTTGGCTCTCTAGTAGAAGTTTATAAAGCTATCAAAAAAATAGCTTTAGTAACAACCAAGAAAGTTTTTGTCAAGTTATATCTAAGCAAAAGCAAGGATAGAAGCTTGAATAAATATACTATTCTATATAATATAAACTTTTATATTTCTTGTTTTGGTATATACTCTGGCCTGTCATCTTTACTATTATCCACTCATACTTCTAACAAAATTTTTAAAAAAAGTGGGCAAAACAGCTTATCCCTATCAGAAAATTAGCATTGTTTACTCTTTTCAAATTTAGACAACCAGATAAATTGCAACTATATATTTGGAGTGATCATAACAATAAATATAGTGCTGCCTACAGAGGATCAGGACCTTCTATTTAATTCACATCTGGATTTGGTCATATATTAGAAAGAAGATTCTAGATAAAGTAAAACTTTATAATCGAGATATACTATAGTTGTATTAGTTATATAATTTTTATTATTTAACTACAAACTATTTCTTGATAGAGGTAGATTGGTTAGCTCATAAAGGCTTTTTTCTTTATTTTCTTTTTTTATATTTTCCTGTTCTCCTATTTTTCTTTCTTTTTAATTTCTCTTTTGATTATATGTTTTTTTTTTAGGTTTAGTTTTTTTTTTGTTTCATAATATTATTTTTGTATTGGTAATACAGAATTTTACTTTCTTGTACTCTCAGTAAAGAAAGAAAAATTGAAAAGATTAGTTCTTAATAGGTTGACAAGGTCTTTTGATATATATGTAAGTTAGTGTAACAAGTCGTATCTAGATGCAGTATCTGTAGCCAGATAATGCCAAGCTCATAATTACAAAAGATATTTACTAGAAATAGGTTTTAGTTTTTAAGACAGATTTTACTATATAAATATTTGTATTAAAGTACCAACAAGACTATCAAAGAATAAAAATAAAAATAAAAAAAAATCAATACATTAAATTTCATATGTCTTAATCATTATGCTTTCTTAATTACTATTTAATCTTTATTTAAGATTGTTATGCTTGCTTAATTACTAGTTAATCTTTATATATAATTATTATACTTGCTCGATCACTATTTATAGTAATCTTTATATATAATCATTATGTTTGCTTGATTATTATTTACAGTAATCCTTATGTATGATTGTTATACTAATCATATTAATTTTTATACATAAATATTATGCTTGTTTAATGAGTTTCCTTATGTCAAGAAAATGATCTACATCTGATATAACACATAATTTTAATAATATTATATCTATATATTGTTTATTTTAGTATAAAAAACTCTTTCTATAAGTAAAATTCAATGCTGTATATTTTTTACTTAGAAATTAAGGCTAGTTTCCATAGTAAAATTTTGCATTATTTATGATTTTTTTATTTTTAGTGTTTGTTTAAATTTATGTTAAGATCTGCAAGATCTGCAAGATTCTGCAATTTTTATTGGCTTTGAGCTAATTTTTGTAAATCGATTTTCTTGACATAAGAGAATCCTTGTTTAATTGCTATGTTATATTAATTTGATTATCATGCTTTTAATAATTAACTATATATTATACTGTATATATGCAATTATTTTATATATTGTTATATACTATTATACAAAGATTGTTATAGCAGGTAATAATAAATAGAATATAAATAAATATATAAACAAAAAACTTGCACTTTTTAAAAAAGTATTAAACCCAAGTATTAATAAATAAGTTTGTATATATAGTATAATATATTTATTTTTTTTTAGCAAAATAAAATAATCTGATATTTAACTTGTTTTAAAACAATAATTAATTTGCTATTAAAACATCTTTCTAATTTTAAACAATAGTATTTACAACTAGTACAGTATATATAGCTTAAATAGATAATCTTCTAGTTAGATTGCAGGTATAATAGCTAGTGTAGAACTAAAGCAAACCATTTAAAATAGACAACCAAAAGTTGTACATGTGGCTAGTTGTACTTTCATCATTATTGTAAATATTGTTAATTATCTAATAAATGCCTTGTTAATTATCTAATAAATGTCTCTAGCTATAGAGATTATCTTAACACTAAAAAAAAAAAAAAAAAAGTCATGAGGCAAGACCTCATCTTAATACTGAAAAAAAAAAATATATATATATATATATTTTTACAAAAATTAAATTTAAGTAATTTTTTTATATAAATTTATATATAAAATTAAGGTAAGTCAACTTATTTAATTTATAAGTAACAGCAATGCAAACTCTTATATATAGACATGTTTTTTGACTAATAAAGTGAATAGAAAAAATATTTTTCTTAAAAAAAAAAATAATAAAAATTATAGTAAAAATATATAAATTTACTATAAACTTTAAGCTAAAAATTCTTTTAAACTTATATATTAAAAGTAGAGTAAATATATATAGATTAATTTATATATATATATATTATTTAAAAAAATTTTATACAAAAATTAAATATATATTATAAGATTTTATAATTTATTGCATGGTGCAATACATTGCACTCTTATAATAATTAGTTAGGATGCACTTCTATAATAATTAGAGTTAGAGTTAGTATTAATATTAGGGTTAGTATTAGTGTTTAGGTTAGGGTTGGGGTTAGATAAAATCATAAAAAGATCATTTTTTGTTAGTTACATGACAAAGGTTATTCTAATAAAATTTTAAGATATAGTAAGATACAATACATTGCAGGTGCAATAAAAAATAAACCTCTATATTATATATAAAAGTTTTTAAAAATACAATTTTTTTTTATAAAATTTTTATATTATATATATATATTAAGCCTATTTAACTAAAATAATATAATTTAAACTGCTATTATTTTCAAAAAAATATACTTACTTATATTGTTAATTCTTTCTAGAATAATCAAAATTTGTCTAGATTACACAATATAAATAATATATAATTATTATCTGATTTCAATTGAATATTATTGTAAAAAAAATTAGTAATGTAATTACTAGTAAAATTGATTAAAATTTACCCTATTTTTAACTTATTTTTAGATTTTAAACTTAAATATATTAAAAATAGTAAAATAACTTTTTAAAAATTTGTAAAATTTGAATATTTTGCTAATAAAATTTTTTCAAAAAGAAGATATGTATACTAATTTTAAATCTAAAATTATATACAAACTAGTATGCCAAACAAGTTTATTTAGAAAATAAAAATAGATTGTTATAGTAAAAAAAAAATTATACATAGATAAACTAAAAATTTTAATGTTTTTATATAAAAAACTTTTTTTTTACTAAGACAATCTGTTCTTGCTTTCTAAGTAAACTTGTTTGAAATATTTTCTTAAATCTTTTACTAAGCAAAAAATAGGTTTAAAGTTAAAAAATTTTTTTGAACTTTAAACCAATTTTTTGTTTAGTAAAAGGTTTAAAAAAACGTATTTTGACAAATATATACATGTAAAATTTTGTGCTAAACAACAAGTTTACTTAGAAAGCAAGAACAGATTGTCTAGTAAAAAAAAAATTTTTCTATATAAAAACGTTAAAATTTTTGGTTTTTCTATATATAACTTTTTTTTTACTATAGCAACCTATCTTTATTTTCTAAGTAAACTTGTTCGGCATAATGGTTTACATATAATTACAGATTTAAAATTAGTATACATTTATTTTTGCAAAATTTTATTAGCAAAACGTTCAAATTTTACAAATTTTTAAAAAGTTGTTCTGATTTTATTCTACTATTTTTGAGTTATTATGTAGGTTTAAAAGGATCTTTAGTTTAAAGTTTATAGTAAATTTTTTATTATAATTTATCACTCAGTGTAACATCCCTGACTGATATGCCGTATTCTATATTAAAATTATTCTATTCCAGAATCGGCCTGTTTTCCAGAGTTATAAAAATTACAGTATATAGATTATACGTACGTATATAGTAAATTTTGCATAACTGATAAGCCTTTTCATATTAATGCTAGCCAAAATTAATAGTAATTTGGTTAGTATTAAATTTAATACGTAGTAACTTGCCATAGCCTGTTCCAATTTAGAACCTAAAAAAAAATTTTTTTATTAATTGAATAAATAGTGTATATATATTTAATTATTAATTGGGTTATATTTTAAGCCAATGCTTCTGAATATGTGCCATAAAAGTTTTAGTAACAATGAACAGTGGCAAAAAAAGTCATTCGAATAGCTTTTATGCAAATTACAAATTTACACTTAGATCTTTTGATTGTTGTCAAAATTCTTATAAATTCCGGATCCGATACAAGAAACTACCATGAATGGACTCATTTTCTTCCAAACATTGTGAAAATCCGTCAAATATGATTAACAGACAATACTCATGACCAACCATTTTTTTCTTTGTATTCTCGTTCAAACTGCGGATGCTAATTCAGGTGCTACAAGGTCGTACGGCGTACTATTATGCAAGAGCCCGTTGAACTTATTTTTTTTTTAGTAAGGTTTTAGCCATAACTTCATGCAAGAATCACAAACCTGTTTAAAGGTTACACTGCTGACATTTCACCTATCCATGTATATTTCCAGATTTTTTGGTATATTTCCTGTACAAATGTACAAATCATTATAAATATGGCAGAGTTTGTTACCCCTAAGTGTCTTTCGATCGTAGAAACAACCGTAACTTTCGAATATGCTTAATAATAATAATAACTAAAGAAAAAGAATATACGGATATTAGAAAATTTATGATTTATTAATATAGCTAGTAGTTGGGAATGACAACGGAAAATATCTATAAGCCAATAACAACACCCCCTAAGATGCAAGCTAACGCACCGTCGGACTCGCTTTTAAATCAACCTAAGCTCTATGTAAGCGAGTTACAACACAGTATCGTTGAAGAAGAACTAAAAAAGATATTTCAGGATGTTGATCCAGTGAGGTTGGGACTTTACTTTAACTTAAAAATAATTTTATTGCAAACTCAACGTATGTTATTTTATTTTATCGAAACAGGGTTGAAATTCATCGTCAGCCTGGAAGTAACGCGCCCGTAAATGGCATCGTTTATTTTTCATCGATAGAAAACGGTATATACTGATTGGATTTTTGATTTATGAGAAATATGATGTCTAATTATGATCGTCTATCTATTATTTTCTGTTTTATTGTTGTTTAGCGGAAAAGGCGTTCGCTATTTACAACAATAAGAAATTAGAAGCGTATAAATCGTATCTAAAATTACATATTACTGATCCCGCTATTACCGGACAAGAACCACAAGCTGAAGCACTTATTCTACAAGTTAAGCATTTGCCGCTCAATACTTCAAACATTATTATATTCAATCTTTTCCGACCGTTTGGGCCCTTGTTTTCCACAAGGCTACAATATCAAGAACATAAGTTTAAGGGATGTGCCATGGTACAATTTTTCAAACAAGACGATGCCAATAAAGCTTTAGCCAATATGGTAATGTATATACACACACATACATACATGCATGCATACATACATACACATATACGTATACATTACATGTGTTAATACATATATGTGATATATATGTATATGTATATTTATATATAATTTTGGCTATATTAATATCTAATCGTTTTGATTTACTGATCAGAATGGTTATCAATTAGAAGGAAAGAATATGTAAGTTGGTCTTTCCAAATTTATCCGCAATTTTATTTTATTTTATTTTATTTTTTCGATAATAATAATAATAATAATAATAATAATAATAATAAATTTCATATTTTTTCTCTAATAATTATCAGTACCGTACAACAATATAATGCTGTTAACACCCGCCCTAGCAAACCTGCGAATATCCGCACAAACATTACAAATCCTAATTTAACCGGGGCTGTATGTTATTTATCAAATATAAATTATGATTAATGATTATTTGTGATTTAAACTTATCCAATTTTATTAGGGACAACAATTTTCTCCTCCGGGAAATTACAGCACCCAACAATCACCTGCGTCTCCGGGTCCTGAAGGCCCTATTGTGGATCCATGTAATTTGTTCATCAAGAATCTTGATGCTAATATCTCTAGCAGTGATCTTTTCAATCATTTTCGTCGATTTGGTCGTATCATTAGTGCTCGTGTCATGAGAGATCAAGAGACTAACAATTCAAAAGGATTTGGGTTCGTCAGTTATACTTCTGCTGAAGAGGCGGATAGAGCCAAGTCATCTATGCATGGAAAGACTCTCGGAACAAAACAAATTGTTGTAAGGCTCCATGAGCCCAAAAAATTACGTGAAGCCAAATTGGCAAACCAATATAATTGTAGCCCTACTTCTCCATCTGAAAGTCGCGCTCCTTCCAGGCGTAACTCAGATTATTTTATTATTAATACTGCTAATGAATTTGGGCAGGAAGATCTTTCTGGTTTGGCTCCGAAAGCCCGTAGGGAAGTTCTGATGTCAGAGCTGCAAAAACGATTCAAGCATATTCCCAGTATTCCTGCTGAAGAAGTTAACCCAATCATTGAATATTTATTGAGCATGAAAACACCTGAAATTCTACACATTCTCAAGGATGCTACTTCTTTGTCACAAAAAGTTTGTACTTTATAAATTTACTGTATTTTTATTTATTTTTTATTCATTCATTTAATATCCTTTTGGTACTATTAAATTTATGATCTTAGATTACAGAAGCGAGGCATCATCTTATGCTTGAGAAGAAACGCCGTAGTACTGAAGAAGCGCCTTCAGTTACTGCTGGTATTAATACAAGTAGTAACGCTCATAACGTTCAAGCTTTATCATCGCAAGTGCCACAACGCGAAAAGTTTCTTAAATCTATCAAGAAGCTTTGTAGCCGTAATCCTGAAGAAGTTCTCGATCTTATCATGACATTGAGTCAAAAAGAGAGGTCATTGTGCTATTTTAATGCTGATTATCTTACAAAAAAAATTTTGGAAGCCAATCAAGCATTAGAAGCAGTTAATTGTGACGAAGACGCCCAAGCATCTTCTTCTAAAACTCCGATTAACTCATCTGTAGCCAAATCCGAATCCACACAACTTGTAGATCCAACTACTGTTTATGCTCGTGATTCCGCATACGATGAAACTGAACAATTTATGGAGAGCCTTAAAAACAAACCCCTTCTTGAACAAAAGCAAAAATTGGGTGCTCGCCTGTTTCCAAAAGTCAAAGAGTTCAACCTTAAGAGTGCTGTTGCTAGTAAGGTTACTATTAGCCTTCTGGACTCGTATGACCTCCGTGACCTGGCTCACTCGATGAACGATCCTGAGAAGTTTAAGCAAAGAGTTACCGCCGCCTCTGAAAAAATAGGTGTTTCAAAATAAAAAAAAATAAGCATGGATATTCACCATGGTAAGCAAATTTCTTTATTGGAACATTGTTAAAAGTTTAATTTAACTCTAGGTATAACTCTTTCATTATAGCACGTGGTCCGAGACCTGTCCGTGCATCTTCACAGAACTTTGCGGGATTTAGCATTATATATATATGGTTCAGTCGCTTGTAAGAAACAATGAGAGTCTTTGATTCATTGGTGAGCGGGCGACCTGAGTTCTATGTGCAATGATATGTTCTTATCCCAACTTTTATTAAATATGTCATTCTATGTAGTTTGAGAGAACTTACGTTAGTTTTTTTTAACATTAATTTTTTTTTTTTTTTTTGATATCGAATTATTTCGATATTCATTTTATTTTAATCCACTCCCTCCATTGATAAAGATATTATATATTCCTCATTTAATTTCTTCTTTTTCTATTTTCATTTTGTTTAACTATTTGTAACAGTTGCTTACACATAGTAGTTAAGGTGCAAAATGGAGTATTGTGGTAAGAAATATATATGGCTGTTATTTTATATATAGGTTGTGTAGCATTTTTATGGATTTTTTTTTTTTTTTTTTTTTTTTCTTTCTTATATACATTTATATATATATATATATAATATACTCTATGTGATATCTTATAAAATATTTTAAAGTATTAAATTTTGATTTTTAAACATATACAGTTCAAAAAACTTGATATAAGTATGATATATTTATTATATACTACGTATACACTAAGTCAATTAGATCGCAATATAAATGTAAAAAATATTGTTTCAGTAATGTATATAACATATATATACCGTATATAACGCGTAGCAAATTTTAGCCAGAATTAAGCTTAGTTGAGCCGTTATTCTAAATAATGCTCATGGGCGTTGTTTCGCAATTATACAATACATATTGATTTTTTTTAGAATGTATTGTTACACGAATGAATATCACTTTTCAATAGGAATTTATTACTGTATTATATGAAAGTGAGGAGTTAGATTTCATAGTGAAAAGTGATATTCATTTGATTTAATTAGTTGACCGACTGGTCTCACCTTTAATATTTAAAAAAAAAAAAAAAAAATTAGTTGACCGACCACCCCAACGTATATACAATATAGTATGTACCTTAACACATACTAAACGCATTTTTAGACCATAGTTTCTTGCTTTTCAATCATCATTCCTGTAACACCTGATAAAGGATTAACCGAATGATTTTTGGTTAAGTTTGTGATTTCGGCACGATTCGTATAATAAAAGCTATTTTGTAAATAATTGTCTTGCAATTCGTTATAACGATAATGTCAATATTATTAAATTTCGTTCGAATGCTTGTTTGGTTCTTGTCAACCAATTAAAATATAAAAAAGGCTCCGGATCTAAAATAAACTTTTATAATACGTAAAAATAATACATGAATAGGAAAAAGTTAATGTCGAGAATTTGTCGACTAAGATTAGTATTTATCGTAAAACGTGGTTTTGAATTGTAGATAATTTTTTTCGATTATTTGCTAGCGAGGTTGCTTTGAAAGTATCGTATTTTTGTATTTAACTCATACAGTCATATGTAGTTTTATATTTATATTAGTCACCTGATCTTATTACGTTATTTATTGAATCTATTATCGTTATGCCAAGATCACAAATTTAATCGAAACAGCTAAAAAATCATTCGGCTAATTTTTATCAGTTATTTAGAAGGTATGATGATAGCTGTAAAGTTTTCAAAATTTGACCTGACTGGGTTTATAAAAATCAATTACTGTAATTGGTTTTGCATGGCCTTATACGTATACGTATAAGTAGATTGTAATATGTATATACAGTATTATAATCTATATATATATACTTATATTGTTACCTACTTATAAGTGTATTGTTACCTACTTATGTATATACTGTTATATATATATCTACTTATTTTATGATCCTTTAATAGGCTTGATATTAATAATTTGGGTAGTATGCAAATCATGTTTGTATTGCTATTCAAGAGCCACTAAGGTATGTGCTATTGGGGTGTGCTGTCAACTATGTAGATCAAATTTATGTGTGATATTATATAAAAATTTTTTTTTTTTTTTTTTTTTTTTTTTTTTTCCACTTAGGCAGTTTCGCCAGTACTTTATTAAGATTCTAAGTATAATACATAAAATTATATACTCGTTTACTCCTAATTTGCAAGCCTGACATCACCCGGCTACCCTAATGGCGCCCAAGTGCAACCCGCCGCACTAATTTGAAGATTACTCTAAAAATTAGAGGCTGTGTTAAACCAGCCTAAGTGCCACACCAAAATGGCTTCCCTCCTTTATAAACCCTCTCCACCATCGTTTTTTCTACCAACTTATCTATTTCCTTATTCTTCTTTACTTTCTTTTCTTTCACCCTTTGCGATTCACTCTTTTCTGCAGTCGTACTAATTGGATCGAGGCTTCTTTCTTCTTGGGTTTTCCGTTTCTTGTCATTCTTCTTTTCTTTTCGCAAACTTAACTTCTTTTTGATTTTTTGTTCCTTGACGATACCCTCTTCTTGCTCCCATTCTATCACCTTCTCACATCTCCATCTCTAAATGACTTCATGGAAACAATTCCACACAATATACACCACTGCATCCAGAGTCTGGTCTGCTTCTTTTTTGGATAAACCCATAGCCTGGAGGTCCTCAGCTACGATGACCTTGTATAGGCCTTTAATGAAGCCCTCTCTTCTTTCCTCTCTCTCTTTTTGGTCTTCTCCAAATATACGCTTTCGAAGATTCTCCGTATATGACTTCTCTTTCCTTTTAGCTTCTTCTATAAGGGTTTGTACTGTTTCTGTTGCTACTTGTTCTATTTCCAACCACCGAACTTCTTGTGCTTCGCAGCATGCTAAGTGGGCTTGCGTCTCTTCTGCATTCTTCTTACACACTTTACAGCTATTGTCTTTATATAAGTCTGGCCTTCTCTTAGTGAGACTGTCTAGTGTTGGAAGTTTATTGTGCAAACACTTAACTAAAAAGTTAAGTTTTTTTCCTTTTCTGATCGATGTGCATTTGACACCGCTTTGTTCTTTTATTCTCTTCCACAAATTTTTCCAATCCCACTTTTGCAGTTTCTCACTTGTTTCCAGCAAACTAGCAATGCTTGAAACTCTCCATTCTGCAGCAATCTTTGTTTCTTCGAGATCTTTAATAAATTTTCTTGTTGGCATTTCAAT